AGAGCTTTATCAGTTCTTTCAGCTCTGAGAGGACAGTGTGAAAACTGTGGGCATAGTTCATTTGTCTTTCTCTATGTTTATTTTTGAGGAAACCAAATGCAAATTCCTGATGTCAGATCATCTACTGATGTCAGAATTATGACTTATGGGCAGTTCACTAAAGAGAGGAGTAAAGCCAATGTTGTGCCACTTGGAATGTCCCTTAAGTCACATACATTATTCCTAACCAGGAATTCTTTCACCTGAACAAATTTTTTCCATGATTTTTAGAAGGACTTTATATACAAAAAGGGTTGTGTGGCCTTTTCAAGGGAAATAAGACTTAAATGTATATAGGCTACACCATGTCTGAATTTTGGCTAGTTCTTGAGACTTCTAGAGGTATTCTGAGCTTTGAGTACCTTCTCTTGTACCTGTGTCTTAATTATGGTATTGTATGGAATCTCCATTTCCCAGTATTGAAATGGCTCTTGCTAGTAGTTCTGCAGATTCTCAGATGTTCCAGCAGTATAAGTGGCTAAAACAGCATCTGTTCTTTCTGAGTGCTATTCTTGTTGGTAGTTAGAGTAGGCTACTGTTGCAGTAAAATGAGAAACAAAGATGACTTAATACAGCTCTGAGAGGCAACTACATGGAAAAACATAAGGATTTTTTTTTTCCAGTGACTTGTGTGCTGGATTGATTGGTGGTCTTGGAGTAACACCAAGTGGAAATATTGGTGCTAATGGAGTTGCAATTTTTGAATCGGTAAGTCTTCTTAATCAAGATGTAGTAGTAATAACTACTTTGTCTCCACTCAAGAATCTAAAAACTTATCCAAGATGCACAATGTAGCTATTAAAAAGTAGGTTCTCTTTAAAGCTATGTTTTACTGATAAGATTTTGAAATGTTACTAAAAGAATAAAGCATGTGTTGCATGTAAGTTTTTGCACCTGCTTTTATTGGCACTTTCACTCTCTTTCTTAAACACTTCATGAAATAGAACTTAAGAGGCACAACTGAGAGACACTAGCTGAACTAGTTCCTCTTTTCTAATGCCTTTGGACTGAATTGTTCCACTCTTTCCTATCTTCTTTCCATTAAACATATCCCCTTGAAGTAAGTTCCATTTCAGCATGCTTGTGTGTGAGGATTATGTTTCAAATGTCCTCTGTTAATCACCATGTTAACTTTGTAACAGACAGGTTCACTTTTCTTTCTAGGTTCACGGAACAGCACCTGATATTGCAGGAAAAGACTTGGCAAATCCAACTGCTCTTCTCCTGAGTGCTGTAATGATGCTGCGTCATATGGGACTACACAAGCATGCCACAAAAATTGAGACAGCTTGCTTTGATACAATTAAAGATGGAAAGGTAACATAAGAGGATGCAAATACATAAAATTGATTCAAACGATACCCTGTGGTAACAAAAATTAACTTAGAACATTAACACTAAAACAAAAGATACCCTGCTTTGCTGACCTGAATCACACGAGCAGGACTGCTGGTGTTCTGTGATTGTTGTTATGTTACCTCTGGTGGTATTAAGTTTGCCCTCTTCAGCAACAGGGACGCTCTGTAGCTCTCCTCCTGTCTCAATTTCCACAGCTCTAAAATCTAGAACTGCAAATCTGTTTTCCATGAAAGGGATTGGAGATGTGAATAAATAGTGGTATTTCTCTTGTGAAGTTTATAGTGCATTAACATTTAAATCTAAACCTTAGAGCAAAGGACAATCATTTGCCTTATGCAGGCTTAATCACTCATCTCAATTCTGACTCTTAATACTTCTGCTCCTGTTTTTCAGGTCACTTCTTTTTATTCTTTCCTCCTAGTTACCTCAGTTCCTTTTTGATCACAAAATAAGTTATGGGCAAAATGATACCCAGTGTTTACTTTTTCTCTTAGCATTGTGTGCAGGCGTACCTGCCTGCATATTCAAGACTCGGATAGTATTGGTGGTGGGGAAGGAGTTGTGCTCTGAAACCTGACCTGAATTTCTGCTTGTAATGCTGCTGGTGGAAGTTAAAGTAGTTGAGTGCACCTTTCCGAAATATAATTGGAAAGATTCCAAAGATTGCCCTAAGGGAAAATTAGCGTTTAACTGCTGTGATTATCTGGGGCACAGGCATACAAAGCTGCTTTGTAATTAAAAAGAACAAGCATGCTTAAACAAAAGACTGTCATTATTTCATAAGTGGTCTGCTTACAGCTATCTTGCTGTGTGTAGGAGCCAGTTTAAAAAACAAACAAACCACTAAACTTACAAGTGAATAGAGAGATGCTTCTGTACAGTTCCCATTTACTGCTCTGGAAATGAAATCTTTCATCTGCAGGTTAGTAATTCTACAGAAGATAACAGCACAAGTTGTGTGACATGGCTACTTGTTTACTAGTTGCTTACCATGTTGTGACTACATGCTCACAAGGGAGAGAATTTTTTCAAATTGAAAAAAGCATAATGCACTTAAAAATGACAAGTTCCTAAAATTGTAACCTTTATTGCCTTTCATGCTTGCCCTTTCTTTTCTTTGTCCCTGTCCCAAGCCATTTAATTAAGATCTGCATGGATGTGATAAAAGGGGAATACTAATAATTTTTAAATTACCTCTCAAAACTTTTTAATCTGTCCAGATTGGGCAAACAACATTGACTACTTCAATTTAAGAAGTCTTCATACTGCCAGAGAGGAGTTGTTCTTAATAAAAAAAAGTTTAACTACCTCTTTTTCAATCCCTTAACTCAACTAAGCAAACTTGGACAACCGTTAACATGCAGCATTTCAAGAGCTGTGTGCTTTTTCTGTGTGGGTTTCCTTTGTAAAACATATACCCAAAGCATTACTGAATGACACTCTCTTAATTAGTTGACATTGTACTGAGCCATCATGTATGAATTTTACTTCCAAAGGACAGACTTCTTAGGGAAGACTTAAGTCCATAACTCTTAAGTACATTATGATATGGCCAAGGGCCTTTGGATAGCTTTGTCCAAATTCACTTCTGTGGGTAGTTAAAAGAGAAAATCTCACTGAGATCTGAACACTCAGATAACAATGCTCAATGCTCCTACTCATTTTTCCCCACCTGCCTCCGTTTGCAGTGTTGCTGTTGATAAAGGCAGCAGAGAATACAGAGAAACTCAGACTTGATGTATTCCTTCTCAGCTATATCCAATACCAATACAAAACACATAGATGATAGGACTGTGCAGTGGTATAACTGGCTCCATTAAACATTACAGTGATGGCATTTTTTCTTCCTTCAGGCTTTGACAAAAGACTTGGGAGGTAATGCCAAGTGTTCAGAGTTCACAGAAGAGATCTGCAGCAGAGTACGGGACACAGACTAAACTTCTCATGTGATTCGTATTAACTCTGAAAAGATGCATCACAAACATACAGTATGTAACCTGGTATCTATATGCGTATATTTTGCTCATCTCTTAAGAGAGCAAACTTCATAGGGAAGGCCTCTTCATTAATAAATTTAGTCCCCATGGCTACAGATGACGCTTGTGCCTGCTTTCAGTGGACTTTAAGTGCTGTCTTATTTATTTGTTTCTACTGCTAAGCATTTTTATGCAAGAGAAGTATTTTTTGCCACTGTAACTGTACCATTTGCTGTTTCAACTAGATGGTTTTTATTTTTCACAAAGCAAAATTATGTGAATATAACATAACCAGAACTAGTGAATTGCTACAGCACCTTAATGCTTAGAGCTATGTTATTGGTCTTACTGAAATTTAAAGGACAAGCTTTTGGCCTAACAAGAGCACAAGACAAACATTATAAAAAGAAACGGGTATAAACTAATTTCAAATAGCAATTTTGTGTTAATAGCAATGAAGGAACACTTCTAGGTGTCTGCTGATTGAGGAAATACAGCTTTGTCTTCAAAGGGCATGCAAAAAAGAAATGCAAAATCTTAGAAATTTAATCTGTTTATGTATATGGGAAAAAAAAGACAGCACACCAGCCAGATGTGAAAACTGATATTAACAAAGATATTTTTCAGATCTGTATCACAATAGTTCTTACAAGTTTTCCTTTCTGAAACACAGCTTAATTTACAAGATAGTTGTAACGAGAGTAAATTAGAAAAACTAATTCCTGCTCTGTATTATGAAGGGAAGTTATTAACTTCACCAGTTTATACAAAATATTTCATGGCTTCTGCTGGATTGCTTTTTGTGGTATACTTTGTTTTTATGAAGCCTGCTCAGTGTGTCTCACTGCCCTGACTAGTGATTTTATTCTATAATCTCTGAATGTAAAAGACTAGTCCTAATGGAACGAAGACAGATTGAAGGTCTGGCTCTGGTGCCTATGTTCCAGAAATACATTTCATCCCTATTCAAGGGATCAGAGACTTCTTTCTTCTCCTGCTTCCTAAGCCTAGTAAGCACCAAAGCACCTCTTTTTTTTCCCCTCCCTTCTTCATCACATACAGGTAATCATGAGCCATTCTGACCTGGATTTCTTAAGGGTATGCTCCTTTTAGTATATCCTTCAAGAAAATGCACATTTGTAAAACTCGTGACTAACACAAGTTTATACCTACTGCCAGAGCCAGATGTCTTAAAGCTTAATTGTATTTATAGGTATTATGCCTCTTAGTTACTTTCTAGTGAGGCTGTTCAGGCTGTTATTTCAGAATCAAAACTATTTTGAATAATGTCTTCTAGCAGAACTCTATGAAGTAAGCAACCCAGCTTTTTTGTACAGCCTAACAACGTGTTGGAGGAGGGACAGTAAGCTTTATTTCTTGTGCTCTCTGCGTTTGGTGAATAGGGTATCATTTCCTACTGTGTTTTACAAGCTGCTGCTTCCTTGTTTCCTCTAGATTAATCTTAAGACCTTCTGCAGTACCATTACGCACAAAGTGGGGAAAAAAATAAACTTTTTGAAGTCCTACTGCTTGTTGTCTTGATAATCCCAGGCTCCTACTTTGTCTGATGCATTAAGCTGATTGCTGATACTTGCAACAAACTTTTAAGTTTTTAGGATGTTTAAGACCGATCGTGAAACTTTCATTGAAACAATATTCTGCTCTGCATGATTAGTTGGTTTTAAATCAAGAAAGATGGCTGCAGACTCTAGTTGTTGTCCATTATAACTCTCTGCCACCACTGACTGAACTATCAGCAGCCCTTTTAACCCTTCATGATTTATATTTTCTAAGGGAAAGAAGAAATGCTTCAGTTGTCAGCATTAGTACAACATCGGTATTGAAACATGCAAGTAGAGTTGCAATACTTTTACTTAAAAATGTGTTAATTGTGCTTTAAGGTGAGAGCTCCCATATTTCCTACTTTGTATCTTTCCATTTTCAGGAACTGTTTTCCCAACTTTTAGTGTTTGGTTTTAGGAGAAATAATAATGCTTACTTCAACATGGATTTAAGAAATGATGATCTGCTGCTTTCAGAAAAGTCTCTGCAGTCTAGCTGGTATAGAAGCGGAAGAGGGCTCCAAAATGCTGAGCTAGTGAACAGAAATACACTTTTCCCTAGGATGAAAGAAAATAGGCCTTGGATTTTTTATTATTGTTATTTTAAAAACTAATCAGCTTTATATCCAGAGTGGTATAACAACTTTACTAAACAGGTACTGCTAACTACTCATTTACCACATAAGCTCCAGGCAACCTCCTGCAGAACAAACAAATTATAAGGGCAGATCACTGTTTTTTCTGTTTCAGTCTAGAGAACTTATACTCACTTCACATAACCTATGAGGATATCATTAATCTTGCTCATTTAGGGCATAATGTAAAATAGATATTATAAAATGGGCACGCTGTACAGAGCAGGACAAACTATCAGGTGAGTATTGGGAGTAACTAAATTAACATAGCAGTTTTCTAGTGCATGATTCAACAGACTACAAAATAAAAACAAGCATAAGTTTTCCTTAATGATTTTGATTAGGAAATACTTGCTGTAGCTTACAAATCTTTCTTACTGCTCCGATGAAAGGCTTCTTACTCTTCATAAAAGGAGTCCACTTCATTTTTGTATTTCTTAAGCACAGTGAGCCGTTTTAACTTCATGGTGGGACCTTAAGAGAAGGAGTTAATCACAAAAGCAGAAATAGAAACAAGAATTCCTACCCTGTTTAAGCTTTGGTTTTGGATCTTCTGCTAAAGAGCCTTTGTTTGGAAGAACACCTACTTCATTAGTTTAGATCTCTGCCAAAATTGAGAAGCACTTGTGGCACATAGCTGCCTTTGTGTAATCATTAGCACTTCAAAAGCGGCTAAATAAGTAGGTGATTATTCACTATTACTGTTTTTATTTTTTTCTATTAAAGGACTAGTGGTTTTTAAAATTTGTTCCCAATTCCAGTAAATTCCCAATTTACTCAGAGGCAGACAACATGGCTTTGGGCTCTGCTGTCAATCTTTCATTTAGTCCCCTTTTTTTATTGCTGTTAATGATCACTTTTCAGAATTATTACAGGAAGTTATTAACACTTTAATGCATAAAAAATAATTAGAGTTGCATAATTACCCAAAGCAATCTCAAACTTAGCAACAGCGCTGTACTCACTTAAATGACCACATACTTCTACATGTGTGCATAGCAAAAACTCCAGATTTTGTATTCTGTAAACGCTGCTTAACTTTTCTTCCTTCAATCCAATGATCACATACAGAATTTGACAAATAGAACTGTATTTGGATACTCACAAATCAGCAGCCCCTCTACTGTGTGTACACCTTTAGTATAAATCATAGAATCATTTGAGTCAAAAGGGACCCTTAAAGGCCATCTAATCTGACTTCCCTGCAATGAACAGGGACGCTCACAGCTCTTACAGGTGCTCAGAGCCCCACAGCCTGACCTTGGGTAATGGACAGAGTATCCACCACCTCTGTGGGCAACCTGTGCCTGAGCCTCACCACCCTTATTGTAAAAAACTTCTTCCTGACATCCAACCTAAATCTCCCCTCCTTTAGTTTGAAACTATTTCCCATTGAACTGTCAAAACAGCCCCTGCTAAAGAGTCTGTCCCCTTCTTTCTTTTAGCCCCCTTTTAGATACTGAAAGACTGCTTTAAAAAAAAAGCAGTAAGTCTTACCTAGTTCTCCCCCAGAAATAGAGAAGTCTCTTGGCAGCACTATCCATTTTTGAATGCAGTGAACCCTATTAGTGGCATTCATGTTGACTTTGTTGATTCCCTCCTGAATGGCCTGGTAGATCGCCTGATCCCTTGTAGCTACGATCTCTGATACTGTAGTGGCTTTACTACCGATCTTTTGGCAGAAATCTCTAGCTTGTTCAGTGAGGATGTCAGTAGGATCTGATGTATCTGGGTCCAGGATGCACTAAAATATCAGATGAAGATAATCATCAAATTCTTACTCCTACAAGGCATTATTAAATGATTATTTGATAAGGTTCTCCCTGTCTGGTGAGAATAAAAGTAGCCCAACATTAATACCCAAACATTCCATAAGCCTGAAAAAGCAGAAAGCTCTAGAGATGACAGTACTCAGGTTTTTTTTTCTACATAGCTAGCAAATGCAAAAATTTCTGGCTTATATGCAGATAATGTGAATGGACCAAAGATACATCAAGTAAAGTCCATCCAGCAACCTTAGATTTCTACCAGCTTTTCCAAATTAGTCCATTGTTGTAGGGGGACATTGAATTACTGTGATACAGTGTAAATAGGTTGAATAAGCAGCATTGTTTGAAGTTAGAACTTTTAAATATAAAATGTTTAGCCAATCACTTAACCGTAACAAGATCAGACCATCACGATTTGACCTGTAGTTGCCATACATTGCTTCCTTGAAATGAAGCCTTCCCATTTAATTCTTGGTCTTCCTTTTAACAGTTCAGAATCCTTCTCATTTTGTTAGGGTATAGGTGTGTAGTTTCACTGAAATCAGTATTAAAATTGGTATACCTTTAGGGTCAGCAACATGGACAAAAATTTCTTTTTATCTCCAATCACCATGGCGTTACTAACAATTGGGAGTTCTTTTTTAACAGCGTCTTCAATTGGAATGGGAGGCACATTTTCACCTCCAGCAGTAATAATCAAATCTAGACCAAAAGAAAAAGAAAGGCTATTACTTGAAATCGAATTTTAAAGAGCAGGCTAATTCCAGGATGGCTCTATCTTCCTTACTTTTATATGCAGAGAACGATAATTTTTCAAAAGGAAGCAAGCCTATTTTAAATTATTAGTTTGATTGTCTTCAAAATAACAGTTGTAGATATTGATGCTTTCCAAGGATGTGCTTAAATATTCATTTTTCCCTCTATATAACACATTTACCCCCATATACACACAGTGTGAGTTTTAAATAGCATAATGTTTTCCATGTAATCCAGTAACAGGTTAGCAAACTGCATATATATATGCAGTGCAATATCCAATATATACATGCAGCATGTTGTATAATATGGACTTATTCTTTGAACAATCATCTCTTCCAGACTAACATAGGATTCACTCTCTAATTCACTATTAACTCACCAAAAAGCAGTTTGTGGTTAACATCATGATCAAAGCTAATTCTCAAAGCCACCAAGAGGGGTCAGACAAAAACAAGTTAATACTGTAGGAAAGCTGCACAGAAGCAATGCAGAAAGAAGAGGAGCATGGGGAGAGATGAGGGATAGGTGAGATTTTGGAGACGGAGTTCAGGATGGAAGCAGTCATTCCTGCCTACTTTTGATACGGTGTGTGTTTAATGACAGACTGACAACTTAATATTTTTAAGGTCTGTAAACAATAGTGACGCAACTTTACTGATAAGGGAATATTCAACTCTTTTTGAATGCATTAATTCTGAAGTATAATATGTATAATTATTGAAATCATTGTGAAATTGAGAATTATTTAAGCAAATTTCAATTCTGTTTTCATTACACTGGTGGCTTCTTGGCTTCTCACTACCCTCAAATAATGATCTTGGCAGCAGTTCAGTAACATGCTTCAAGAAATAATGCAGAGCAATGGCAGACCAGTCCTGTGTGTAATAATTCATCTTACTGCATACATTAAGGGATGGGTTGGTTTCTCTTGGTTCCCTTGTCAGTGTAAAAGAATGTAGATGTAATCAAGGAAATATGGCACCCTTTCAGCACTCACACATTTAGTCCTTAACACCTCTACTGCTCTGTAAAGAGCAACCATGAGAAATAACTTCCAGTCTACACTCAGCATTCCTGTATGGAATAGCCATTCATTTCACAGTTATGAATGATATTTCTCTCCCTAGTTAATACAGTGCATGCATCTGAGGAAGCATGCATAGTGTTTCTAGAGTAAGAGACTTCTGTCACACTACAAAAATACAGCAAAGTTATTGTGTACCCAAACTTCTGGGAGATCTTTTTACTTTATTTTCCTCTCCTTTTGTCTTAATCCAGTTTTTATCTTAGATCTTCTCACAAGCTCCATGACACTTCATTTTTCAGTCTGAAATGCCAGCTTTGTCACAGCTGACAACAGAACTGTAATCACAGCAACAACTTTTTGCACATGCCTACAGATACTCCCTGTCTGGGCTTCTCTAGCAGTGTCTTTGTGCTTCGCAGCTTCTCTGGATCTCAGATACCAGGAAGCAGTTTCTACGGTTTCATGCTCAATATAACAAATCATAAAACTTGTAAGACCAAAGGAACTAAAGGAAGAAGTCCTGTTTCAGTTATTAGAAGAGAAGCTCCTTTACTACCTTCTATTGCATTTACCTTAGTAAGACATTAAAACTAAAAGTAAACTGGACAGGTGGTTCTTTTATCTCAGACGGTCTTCCTAACCTGAAAGTAGAGCAACAGTTGTTAGTTCAGCAGTCAAGGAAGATGCGAGTGCAACACAAACGTTAGGGCAGAAGACAACTAGGAGGTGCTAGCCACAAAATTAAGCAAAATTGAATTAGATAAGAAAGCAAATTAAAAATCAAAGTAACTGTATCTAGTGCAGCCTATTAATAGTACCTACTTAAGTCCTGGTGCCTAATAGAACACCATGTTACTCTCTGACAAATTCGTTCACTCATGTCATCCCCTTAATGATTCATCATGCATTCTATGATGATAGTTACTCAGTTTTTAGATCTCGACTTTACACATCTATGACAAATCTCACTCTATGAGCATATATTCTGAGAGAGTACTTCAGTAACCAACGACCAGTTTTATTCACGTGAGACTTCAAGCCATGCACTGTAAGAGCACCCAGCTTTATTTTCCTGTGCTCTCAAATTTCAATACTATTCTCTGTAAACGTATCACAAAAAGCAGAGGAATCTAGCTCTGATCTACAGCAATAACTGTTACACAATAGAGTTGTCTGCTGTTACCATCTTAACATTCTAGTGTGCAATTAAGACAACTGAGCAAGATCCAGAAGGAGACTGGACAGCTTAGAGGATCATTAGAATCAAAGACGACACACTAAACCTGCATTATGATTTTATATTATTTGTGATTAATAATAAAAAGGTCTGGGAGATGGACAGCCTCACTGTAGGAACTGAGGTATCTGCACCTGTTAAAAACTAGAAGGAAACCTTTCCTGAGTAGGGAACAACATGGTTTCCTCATTGGAAAGCTTATTTTACTTTCTGTTAGATTAATGCAGCTGTGATTAAAAGACAGTCACTAAATGAGACACACCACATCTGATATATGATTGAACAGTGCTGGATAGTTATTATAAATGTGATGCAAGATTTTCCTCATTACCTTTAATTCTTCCAGTGACATAGAGAAAGCCATCCTTGTCTAGTTTTCCTAAATCTCCAGAATGCAGCCACCCATCCTCATCAAAGGCTTCTTTTGTTTTGTCTTCCATGTTTAAATAACCCATGAAAACAGTCCTTCCCCAGAAACAGATTTCTCCATTGCCTTCTGTATCTTCATTCACTAATTTCACTCTGCAGCCAGGTACTGGTTTACCACAGCTTTTGGGGAAAAGAAGGAAAACACAAGGAGCACTGAAATACTTAATATTGATAGGATATCTACAATACCAACTGCCTGAGTCCATCAAAATGTAAGCGATAGTAACACCCTGCTATAACTGTTTGAAAGGAATGAAATAACAACTTACTGGGGCTAACACAATAGAATGTGTAGACACTTTTCAGCTATCTTGCTCATGCTTCCTGCTCTTTCCTTCTCTGTATCTTTGAGGTTTCATTTTGAAAGTTATCCTACCATAGGTCAGAGCTACACTGCACATTCCATTTAGTAACTGTTCTGCAGAAAAGGCTGTAGATAATTTTCATTGCTCTTGACTTGGCATGCTATGGAGGTTCAGTTTCTGACCTCAAAGTGATAACATCTTTGCTGAACTCAGTAGTACACTTCTCATAGATACAATGAAATATAATAATAACTGTAAAGTTACCTGTGTTGCCTGTAGTTATACGGCCCTGAGAGGCAATGTGGGCCTGTGGTCTCACTCATGCCATAGGCTTCATACAGGGTGATGTTCAGACCCAAAAAAAAATACAGTGTTTCTGTATTGAGAGGAGCAGCACCACAGAAGTGCTTCTGACAGCTAGAAAAACCCAATGCACTGCGTATTTTAGCAAGCACCAAGTAGTCTGCTAGCCTTGTCCAGAACTGTTTCAAGTCACTGCTGAGTAGAAAACAAGAAACAGGAAGAGACAGTAAGTTGGATGAAGTCATATAGTTAGCAAAACAAAATCAGAAGCAGGGCTTTTTTAGATATGTATTTGTCCTTAGTGTGTGGAAGTTGACAGACTCACATTAGTAATAACAGGTAACATTTCTTTCTTCATTTATTGTGTCTTTCACTGCAAGTGAACACCAACTCTTATAGCTTCTGAATACTGCTAATTCAGAAAGCATCTACAAAACCATATTGCATTAGACAATGCTTTTGTACTCCTGATTCTTCATCAGTTAAAATAATCTCTGAGAACCAATACCACCAAAATCAGAAATTTGCAAGACTCTTTCAAGAAGCTGAAAGATCAGACAAAAAAATTGCCATCAATGCACCACATATTTGGGAATCTCATATTCTGTAAGCCATTTCATACTTCACTGTGTCCCATCTTAAGAACTTTGGAACAGGAAGAATTGTGAATTCAATTCATTGTTGAATTTACAACATTCAGTCCCTATGCACTCTTACAGAGAAAAACAGAATAATGTGCTTATATAATAACATAGAGCTCAGAGAATTCAGGGGTTTGAGGTAGTCTGTGAGTTTTTGTCTGCATTAAGCGTTACTGCTCCCATAGTGCATAATTGAAATTGTCATGAGGCACTTGATATCTGGGTGGCCCCAAAATTAAAATTTTCCCCTTTTCACACAGTTCACTCAAATTCATGCCCTTTACTTAAACCAGTAAGCAGCCAGGACCTCCCCCAGCTGAAAACCAGCCAGTTCAATTCCCAGTTAGGCAATAGGTTATCGGGGAAGATGGAGGTTGGTTTTATGATTAGTCTCCCGTAATTGATAACTGCACCTTCCCTCTTACATTGTATTTGCTCTCTTCCTAAGTCAAGTATTACTTATTTATATGTAGAGAGTATCACTGATGCTTAAGAGCTTATTACAAACAGCTACTTTCAGGATGCTGGAGACTTCTCTCATGACAATACATACCTGCTTGAGCAGTTCAGGTTTCTCTCTAAGCTCACTGACATAGCCCATGACAGCATTTTCTTCTTCACAAATCCTGACTGAGCAGAAGCATCCTTTAATTTCTCCATGATTTTCTCCCATACTCTGGGAACTCCCATGTGAGATGTTGGTTGCACTTCTTTTAGTGTGTTGATCAAGCTGCCCTGTTAAAATCATTAAATCATTCCAAAGCATTGCAGAAGGTCCACATCACTGAAGAGAAGGTTTGGTGATATAGTCTGCGTTCTGCCTCCATTTCCCCCCAAAAATTGCTTACACTTCTTCCACAGTAGAGCCACATTTGTCTGCCTAAAATAGAAGCTTATTGATCTAGACTACAAATTTTACACACACATTCAGAATATTGTGAGCATAAATTAAGTTAGCTATTTAATCAGGGAAAATACTGGAACTGACTTCTTCTCAAGCTCCGTTGTGTCAGTTAGGAGTTTTATGTGGGGACAGGCAAGGAATCAGTTCCAGGCACACTCCTAACTGCAAAAGGAGACTCTTTCTACGTAATTTCACCACAGAAGTAAATGGAGTTTAGAGCACTGGATTGTGAGTCTAATGGATTTTATTGTTCTGTAATTCCTAAAATAACAGACTCTCGATCTTCATCTTCTGTGCCTCTTCTAAGATCACGTTTCCTCGTTCAGATGTTTTCCTAGATTGAAAAGTGCAATCTTAATCAGGTGCAGTGCAAGGCAGATACCTTCAGAGCATCTGGCTCAGCAAAGTAAACTTGCTCTCCCCATTTGATTCCAGTCCACAGGTCATAGATTTGTGCAGCTATGTGGCTGAGTGGAAGATAACTGACAATGGACTCCTGTTGGACCTCTGCAGGTTGCATATCTCCTGCTCTGCTGCAATGTGCTGACGTCCAAGTTATCTATTTAAATAAAAAATAACATTTTTTTTTCCTATTAACATAAACTAAGGATCTTCATGATATGCTAATACAGCTATGAAGAATCTGCTCACAGAACTTGTTGAAGACATTGCAATCTTTGACAACACACCAGGTTGTTATTCCTCCGGTGCCACTCAGTCAAAAGCAACATGAACTCAACTAATAGCAACAAAGGTTTGCATATAACAGAAGTAAATGTGCTTGACTGGTTTATGAACACTACCAACTCCCCACACCTCTCTACCACAGTTAGGAAGGCAGCCATGGCCTAGATGGACAAGGAGAAAAAGTGATCAGCCTTCTGCAGATTTCCTCCTGTGCACACTTCCTATCACACTGGCACTTCTCACTAGCATGCATCTAAATGCCTACCTGCTAAATAACAATATTTACTCAGTGATAAATGATCTCACAGGATAGTTAAGTAACTGCAACAAACTAATTGCCTTCTACTTGTCATAACATGGCTAAGCATCCTAAAACAAGGATGATAGCAGCAGTGTTCTGCTGCTCCAGAAGATTCACTGCAATGGTTCACAGAGGCCCTCCTCCACACATACAAGTAGAAGTGCATGTGTGAATAATGCTGAAGATTTCCTGCTTGACTTCTTAGTGAAACTGTATAGTGTTTCCCCCTTTTCTTTCTGATTCTTCTTAATTTATCTGAGAAGATAAATTAAGTTGAAGGATGCAACGTATACATATATTTGTTGTCAGAATGTAGTGCATTCAAGACCCACATATACGCATGGATGTGAGGAAAAGAACATATGTCCATGACAGAAAGAAGGAAACAACTTTCTTAGAGGAGTCTAAATAATCTAAACTAGCTAGGCTGGGATGCTCAAAGGAAATTATTTCAACGTGGTAGGGGAAAAAATACAAATCACATGCAATGCTCGCTATCACAGTATATCCTTTTCTTCAAAATAAATGTGAAGTTTATCTTGAGAGTATGTTTTGCCTAAGAAAAGTCAAGATTCTCAAGAAAAGCTTTTAGTGAGCAGCATGCTGTCAGGACAGGCCACTCCAAATTTAGGCGACAGCATTGGTCAAGCAGCTATCAGACACTTAAACAAAGTAGGCAGAGTGGAATGTCCTTGAAACATGTCTGTACAGATTGCTCAGCTTCTTTATCCTCCAAAGCCTCACAGCACGCAGGCACACTCATAGCAGATCTGCATGAGTGCCCGTGACCGACTCAGCATTGGTTTTTACAGATGGACAGTGGCACACTTCTTTTGACTAAAGAAGGCAGCAACAGTTACAGGCAAGGCATGTTTTCCACTGTTGGTCAACATAAAAATAGCCTGTTTGTGATCATCAGCCAGGAATAGTTTGGCAGCTAATGTGGAAATGACACCAGACTCTTTTGAGACGGAAGAGCATAGAATTTGCAATGCCAGGTCAGCCTTTTTGTCTATCAAGTCCACTATGTTCTCCTTCAAGATATTTCTGTGCTGATTACATACATTGCTCGCTACCTGTAATTGCTTCTGCATTCTTTTAAGAGAAATGACAGTGGATAACAAAATGCGTATTCATAATAAACTACACTCAAACTTGTGAAGTGTTACTTAGAATGGAGTTTCATTTTTCACCATGCTTATACATTATCAAAACCAGCTGATTGCATTTTCAATGTTGCTTTGTAATACACTGTGTTGCAAAACTAGACCCTTGAAAGTCTTCTGCTATGTAGCAGTCTTTTCAAAACACAAGAACATGTATCCTCATACTTTGCTATTTTTTGTGCTCAAGGAAAAGTCTGAAGTACATACATTGTCATGACTCAGCATCGCTCCTTTTGGCTTCCCAGTTGTTCCTGATGTGTATATTAGTACACAGCATTGATTTGGCTTTTGGGAGTTAATAATGTCATCTAAAGTAGCATCAGATATGTCGTCTCCCAGCTTCAGAAACTCTTCCATCTAGAACATGCAACAGAAAATACAGGATATAGGATATCAAAGTCAAAAGTCAAAAACATGAAGTTACTGAATCTGTCTAAAAAAAAAAATAATAAAAAAAAAAAAGGCAGAAAATTTCAATGTCTTTCTCTGAACACAATTCCAGGGCAGGTTTCCCCAGAAGCTGTCTGCGTTAAGAATTCAGTGAGAACACTGTATAACTTTATGTGCAAGCCGCACACAGACTATCTGAAATTATGCTGCTATGAGACTTTTCATCATCTCCAAAAGACATTGTATTACTATTCCCTCATCCAAGATGCATACTATGTAGAAGTCATAGAGAATACAATTCGGTTACTATCTCACATCCAGAACGATAATGACTTATTCAAAAGAATCTGGGTTTACATTTTTAGAAGTACACTTACAACATTCCACTTATAATTCTCTGTCCATTACATAAACATATTAAGTAAAAGAATGAAAGCTTCTGGGCAAAAGCATCAGCTAGATGTATGAATGCTTACCCAAATTCCCTGTTGTTTAACAGCAAACAGAACATATGATGCTGATCACAGCTTCCATTCAAATTTGCTTCAGTCTGGAATGAACTAAACCTTTCATGATGTTGGACTTTTGTGCAGCACAAAGTGGTCTGAGAAGTACGATGAGCTTTGTCCTCTACACTTCATTAGTTGTTTCATTGGTTGTTCTAGGACACATCTATCATGTGTACCTAATATCCTGCTAGTTATGCTGTTGATCTCAGTGCTAACTGAAAACTAGTTTATAATAAAAATTAAGGAAGTCAGTAACAAAAGGTCAGTTTTCCATCGAGATCAGGTCATTCAAACAGTGCTACAGAACTATATTATCCAAGAGCAAGATAGAGCAGCATCTCCATTCTTCACGATTTCTTAGAGGCCGTATCTAGAATCATAAAGTTGTACAGGGAATGATGTGAAGGACAGCAGAGGTCAAGATCTCTCCCCTCTGCCTGAGGGGGAGTTCATTCTTTCCTTCAAACCTCTCCTTGCCATTGGCAGTGTGCTACTAAGGTTGCAATAACTTGCCTCTGTAGCAGCTAGACTTCCTCTTCTTGGGTAGCAATATTGTCCTAGGATGCTTCTAACCACCAGTCCCAAGTTTTATACTTTCTTCTACCAAATCAGCTATCTGGGAAGAAAGTAAGTACAAAGCACAGCTCCAGAGCAAGTAAAGGACTCATCACACATTATCTCTTCCCACAGAATTCTCTATTTATTTAACTAGCTTCTGGAAAGTTTGGTGTTGTCAAGGGTGTAATTGTTTCTGCATGACTTAGCAGTTGCTCCTACTTTCCTGACCTTACTGTCTTCTCATACCAGAACGTGTTAATCACTGTATATCTGTTGCCTAGGCTTTGTTTATGGAACAGTACCTGCAACAGTGAGTGCTCCTGTTTCAGACTACGAAAGGTACAAACAACCACAAAGACTACTGACCATGTCTGCCTTCTAGAAACACATGCTAATAAGAGAACTAGAACTCTGTCCTTACTGCAGCAATTGCTCATTACATCTCAGCTGTCAAATGGCAGTCCCTTTTATCATATGCCATGTGGTTTAGGTACTTTAGATCAAAGATGCTAAATAATCATTTCTGCCTTTGGAAATTTGATCTCCAGTTTCTCCTTTGCACAATATAAACTATGGCAACTGTCAGACTTCCTCACAGCTACCCCTCTCTGCCGAGAAAATATGTCCAACACACCTGAACAGGGTTGATTTCAAACGTATCTTTCAGTAACAGAATAAACTGTGTTAATGTGTAACAGAATAACATGTGTTAATTCTCTCTTCCAAAAATCTCAAGCACTGAGGTTTCAGCAAGTGCAGTTCCAGAATTATCTGCCAGCCCTTACTTCTTTCACTAGGAAATATAAGCAGCAATATCTCCTTCTGTTTTTCTTGTACCAAACGTAGAAGTATTCCATATCAGTATGTACAGTATTGTAACATTGTGGATTATAAACAGCATGCTATGGGTGCAATAATGTAAGTAGTTTGATGCTGTTACAACATTTTTCAGGCTGGATTCTGATAATCTGTAGTGCACTTAAAAAGGGGATTTTTGTATTCTTATGTAACTGTTTTCAATTACATTTTTAAAATATACTAAAAATATTTTTATAAAAATACGTTCTGCTTAGGGTAAAGGCTTCTACTACTCAATTTTCTGATCCTGAATTTGTCCCCTCTACTGCTTTATTTTCGCCATGTGATCTGAAGATTCTGCACATGCTAAGAAAATGTGACCTTCTTTATGTAGCCTGCAGTTCATTCTCTTCACGTGTTGCCTGACACCAGAAGTTTGGTGCAAATGAGATGTAAATGTCATCTGTAAAAGGACAGGTGTTATCATGTTCTTGCATCCAGTGCAACTACCCACAGTTCAGATTTGAATAGAGCTGGCAGACAACTTTTTTAGAACGGTAAGAGCTCACTTTCTCACCTGAGAAGCCTACAGGTGTTCTGTTAATCAAAACTGAAAAACAAACAACAACAAACAAACCAACATTAACACAAAAGACAGCTAAGCAAGGTAGCTCTCACTTTAAATGTCAAGCATCAAACAAGTTACATGTAAGCTAAACAGAATACACTCATGAAGCTTCTGAATACATTTGCTGGAAGACAGCAATGCATTCTGAATGGCAGACATTCCACAGATCAAAGATAGTAGAAATTCATCAACTAATTAATACCTTAACTATAATAACTGTTCCAGCGTTCACATACCGTATACAAATTTGGATGTCTCTCCAAAACTGAATCCTTGTATAGCACAACAGCTTTCAAATGTGGCAAACGATTCCAGATCTGTTAGATTTTAAAAAATAATTATTATAATTTGTTATTCATATCTTGTACTTTTCCCCACTGAAGTACTGCCAAAACAGTAATTGGGTTCACAGAAGAAACCTCCCACTTCCCTCCTCTGCCAAGTATTTCCCCCTAACTCCTAACCATCTCATTTAAAAAAAGATGAGAAGATACAGAGTCTGCTCTAGAAAGACTGTTCTCAGCCAGAAGATTTAACTATTAATTACACCAAAAAAGGCTCTTCAGCACGCTCTCTCTTACTGCACCAAGAGCACATATCAAGGCACGGGCAAGGCCAAACTGAACACTGACCATTGCTGCTGTGGTTACCCATGCCAGACGCCAGACTTCTGAACTTATTCTGCCATGAAAGGTTCCATGATACAGGTAGCAAATATGGGATTTGGGAACAATATAGCATCAACAAGGGTGGAAAGTATGGCTTATAAGTAACTGCTCAGCCACCTCATACCTGCATTATCTTGTCCAATTGTTTCCGATTTTCCACAACCATGATGTTGGTTTTGCTGTCATAAGCAATGTAGTGGCAGGCCTCTGGAGAATTGGTTGTATATATTCCTGTGACAATTCCTCTGGGTCCAAAATTTGTATATATATATTTATGCATATATTGAAACATTTATATTTATATGCACGCACACATAGATGTATTTAGTATGCAGAAAGCAAATAATAAGATATGAGATGAAAGCTGAGAGGGGTATCAAGATGTAGAAGTACACATTATCACAGCTGTAATGCTTGTTTCAAGTTTTCAGATATACATGAACAATATATGCAAAACAAATCCCTGAACTCAATTCAGTAGAAGATGCTGTAGACTGGGATTCAGTATTTTTGCCTGATTAAGGCTACAGTGGAGTTAGCTCAGAAAGTGGTTAAAAAACACTTGTCCTCTTTCTGTTCTAGCTGCATGCAATTATCAGTTTGAATTTCACTGTCACAGGAACAAACTGAGAGGTAAAATCTAAATCGTATTAAAAAATATATCAGACAAGGAATTAGGCTAGTGAGTATTTCAGCTGTCGCTTTGCTCACTTGAAATTACATTGCAATATTTGCATTGTAGACAAATATCACAAAATGGGGAGTCTTATCTGTTTCCCACATTCTAGTGACAAAAGACTATGCAGCTGTCACAGGTTTCACTTACGAGTGTCTAGACTAATCCAGATAACATTGAGAGCTATGAGACTCCAGCAGGTTGCTGAACATGCTCATCAGCTACAGCACAACCTCCAGGATATGGCACCAAGTGCTAATTTCCCAAATTTCTAAACCTAGCAAAACAGAAACCTTGACATTCCTACACAAAAGCAAAGTAAATAACCATACCCAGCAAACACAGCTCCAACAGCTGAGATGAACCACTCTGGAGAATTAAATCCAAGGATTGCTACGCTGTGGAATCTCTCAAGACCAAGCTTGAAGATAATATGCATAAGGTTATAAATATAGGCATGTTGGAGAGAAACATATAGCACAAAAAATGAGAACACATACAAATAATGGAAAGTTCTATTATTCCAGCATTGACAAGACACGTCCACCTCCAGCTCTATGCCATGGCAAAACTGGAACCTGCCAATAACAAACATCATCCAAACTTTTCACCATCCCTCCTGCCTGCTTAAGCTCTGCTGCTGGGACAGGCCTGAAAAACAGACCTTTCCAATGTGGACAGAAGCATCATGAGAGCTAGCCTTAGCCTCTGCTCAGAGTGGTTTTGAATTGCTCTTCATCTTGACAAAGTGTTGTTGTTTTTTTTTTTTCCACCTATCTTTCTCTTAACCTTAAAGCTCTATGCTGAGCATTGTACCTACACTTGAGTGAAACAGCAGCTTTACACTTGCAATGGCAGCAATTTTATTATCCCTTAGACCAAAACTATGTGTATCTTTATTATTTCAAAAAGAACGTGTCTGCCAATCTTCAGTTAATAGAAGGCAAAAAAAGAAAAAAGAAACCTCTGAAATTCGTTTTTTAAGGAGACAAAGAGAAAAGGGAATTGGTTTTGCTCTCTGTACCTACTTTCAAGAAGCTCTTGGCTGCTTTCCTCGAAAAGCAATAATACTCTGAAAAAGTTATCTTCTCCCACTTTCCATTCTTTCTGCTGGCCAAAGCATTAAGAGATCCGTATTTTTCGAGGCTCTCCTTGAACATCTGATGAACTGTTATGGGAGTCTGCGGACATGAGTTATCTATTCTCAGTCTGACTCTGCCATCAGCAAAGGAAGTCCACAAAGACTCTGGAAAGGAAAGCATTGTGAGGGTACATTACTGAAAAGTACTGCAGCAACAGTAGGTCACCTCCCCCCCCACTGCAGACTTATACAAGCACGGCAGGCAGGCTCTTGTTCATCACTGGTGAAAATGCACAGCTAATGGAAGTGACTGTGCTGAAAAAGAGTGCTTTGTAGCTGAGAATTTGCTCCCACAAATAGTGTTATTGTGCTCTTTGTTTCTGTTGTAGCTTCCTATTTATTTCCATGGGAATGTTACTTTTGGAGCAACCTACATATAGATCTTCATCTCCACTTACTACCATCTTGCCCTATTTCATATTTTGCCTCCTTCTCTTGTCTCCCTCATTCTAATTATCTTCCCAGTCATTTGCTCTTTTTTAATCCTTCTCCTGCTTCCTTGGCAGGACAGGACTCAAGCAGGGAGCACTACCTTATGTCACTTGGCTTTCATGGATGCGCCAAGGACTGTAGCAGTCCCTGGCATTCACAGCTAATGACTGCCTCAAAGACTTTGGCTTGCAACTTTGCTGCTGCAAACCCAGCAGGAAGCAGACTTAATACAAATACAATTCTAAGAGAATTTAGGGGCTAGTTAACTCGCAAAATTCAGGTGAATTCATAAAAAGAGAACCAAAACATAAAACCAACATAATTTCCCTGACAAATAGCTGCTAGTTCCCATTCTTCAGAAAGAAACAGTACAAGAACACTTTCCCCCTTAGATTTACTTTCCAAGTAAGAAATATTTTTCAACATAAACATTAAAAACATTCTACAGAGAAGTGGAATAAAAAAGAAAATCAGACAAAATAGCTCAGCTTTGTAAGAAGTAAACATAACAAAATACAACTTCTTGAAATTTCTGATTGTCTCAGCTTTAGCTGACACAGAATTGTTTTCCTCAGAGCGTCTGGTATGATGCTATGTTTTGGTTCTAGGAGAAAAACAATGTTGATAACACAGTGGTGTTGACAGTTGCTGCTAAGTGGTGCTGCACAGAGCCATGCCTATTCACAGGGAAGGGCCCAAGGAGCTGGGAGGGAACAGAATTAGGACAGCTGACTCAAACTGGCCACAGGGATATTCTGTACCATATGATATCATGCAGAAGGAGTTTTGGAGGGGGTGGGAATTCATCTCACTTTCTTCCACTGCTTGGAGGCTAGCTGGGCATCTGTCAGAGGGTGGTGAGCAACTGCTTGTGCATCACTTGTTATACACATTATATATATATAAAAAATATATATTGTATATACATTGTATATGTCCATCATATCTGGATCTGCTTTAGGACACACCTGCAGCCTCCCTCAAGTTAGGCCTATCTGCACAGATAATCAGAGGCATATGAAGCTACTGTAAGCTCTTAAATATTCACTTAGAAAACTTCTTTGCAGCAAAAAGTCTTGTAACTTGACAATAGAAAATCAGATTATTAATCAACTGAACAAGGTATAACTACCAAGGAGGAAAATAGCACAGCCAGTCTACTTTGCTTTCACAATTCTGTGAAACTGCTCCAAAAATTTCACTGCTCTCATTCTGTATCCCAGCATGTGGACATCATTTTGGAAAAAACAGTTGATTTACCTTTCTGATCCCATCCCAGACAAGAGGATACAAGCCCTGATGCAGAAAGTGAAAGGAGTTATAAAAGCTGTGATTGTATCAATCTGAGATTACTGTTCCTGATTCATATTATGTTGCATTCAGATCCTGACACACAGTCTTGTATTTGTTCTGTTTGTCAGGAAATTAATAGTGACAGCAATAAACACAAATCTTAAGGCTTAATCTCAATTTGCCTTCATTTTCTCATGTATGAATTGCATATAACAATTTTAAAAGAGAGGTGTGGAGCCTTACCCAATATTGTCATGTGAATTAAGGTCAGTGGATAAAAGGCTCCATAAATCCAGGTATTTCAGAAAACAAACAGTAATAGAAGACGCTAAGTAATGGACAGAAAGACTTCCACAGTGTAAACAGTGGCACCCACCGAACGTTTTATAAGTGGAGAGGGCAAAGCAGGTATTTCTGCACTTAACCCCAGTCCTGGTGTGAAGAAGATAAAACAAACCTGTCAGAGAAGGAAGCTATTGCTAATACAAATACTTATTTTCCCACACTGTCACAAAGATGAAAAACTGTCTGATGTTCTGGCTTCTAAATCAACAAAGATGGGAGGGATCACAGGTGTAGGTGTGCACAGGTGGGCGAGTGCTCTGTTGAAAACAAAAATCACACCACAAAGAGCTAAATTACAACATTCTAGTCTCCATATTATTTAAATAAAATAATAAAAAAAACAACACTCTACAGTGTCTCTCCAAGTGAACTGAAAACATTAGTATTATTCCTCAAATAACATTACAGAAGTTGTATAATGACAGTCTTCTCAGTGCAGGCATTTGGTGGACAATGTATTTATATCCAGACTAAGAACAGAATTAGTGTCACAGAGACTCAGCAAGTCACCTTAATAACACACACTATATGCAGTAATGGAATATCCATTTACACATTCATTCAGTATCTGTACTCACATGAATTCGTGGGTAAAACTTACATCTAAAGATAGTTGTTAAATCTCGATAAAAAGCAAAAAAAAAAAAAAAAAAAAAAAATCCTTAAGAATTCTCTCCCACAGATTTTGTAAAAACAGCAGAAAGTGAACAACATGCTCTGTTGTCACTATGCAAAGGGACATTAAGTGGAGGGCTCAAGTCTTTTCAGAAAGAGCCTGGGAAGGAATGCCTGGCTAAACACTGAATGGACCGATTATATACTTTGGGAAAAGCAAAATAGGTGTCCTGCCACACCAGCAGCTGAAAGCTAAACTGCAATGTCCAAGCTGGAAATGAACTCACCATCTGAAACCTAAGAGGAAATCAGAATAAGGATCTTTTAAATAAACTATGATACATTATACACCTGTAGATTTAGAGAGCATAATGAAAAAAACCCACAATAGAAGCAAGCAATCAGAGTGGACTATTTATCCCTTTCCTATTTCTTCCAGTAACTCTTCTACCTGCACTACACTTTGTACCCTCAAATGATTCTTTGTTCACTAATATTCAACCTTGGCTTATTTCCTCAGTAACTCACTTAGAGATGGTGAGAAGGTATTTGCTTCAAAACAAAAAACAAACAAAAAAAAACCCAAATCACAACACGTTTTATTAGATAAAATAAAATTAAAAAACAACACAGATTTTAATCAGGTACTCAATTTTGAATCCCCGAGACCCTTATCAGAAATATGGTCTGACTTTTGAGTTGTGCTGTGTGGAGCCAGGATCAATGATCTTTATGGGTCCCTTTCAATTTGGGATATTCTATACTTCTAAGTCCCATCCACTCCTGTCCCTGCAGCATAGAATCATGGAATCATAGAACTACTCAATGGAAAAAACATTAAAGATCAAATCCAACCACAACCTAACCATACCACCCTTAGTAATTTGACCTCAGCTCAAATTGATAGGCCATAGATATGCCCTGAAAAGTAGAAACTATGATTTAATTTCTGCTTGAAACTCATTCAGTTTTTAACTCACACAACATTGTTTTGATTACATGCCACTTCCTACAAAATATCACTCTGCTCTAATGACTGGTGTAGGCATTCAGCTCTCTGCTGGAGGCATTTTTTTTAATAGACAGTCATCATCCCAGATTCCACAGCTGTGATGCCATTACATTCTGCTGACAATACAAACACATCATTCCTCCTCTTACCTTCCTTGTTTTTTATGCTTTTTTTTTTTTCCCCTTCAGCATGTCTTCAGCCCTGAAAGCTAAACTTCTTTTCAGTGAAAACTGGAGATGAGCGTTTACATACAGGTTGGAGTCAGAAAACTTGGCATCTGCACCAAACTTCTCTCATGTCAATGAGCAGATTGAACTAAGAGGTACAGAGCTTCCTATGAGTCAGAATACATACAGAGTGTTTTGTTTGTTTGTTTGTTTCCAAAAGCAAACCAACATCTTTTCCTGCTGCTTACCTTACCCTCAGTTAGGGCAGGAAGATGAATCCTGCTATATTATCAATTTTCCATGATAAACCTGTAGCTTTAAACACTCTATATTTTTTTTATTATTATATTTTTTTTACATTGAATGAAATAGCTGGACTATTTTTAACTTAGAAAAACAAACAAGCCATATTAATGTTTTAGTTCACAGATGTTTTCACCTTTTCCAGTAAATGAAAAGGGAATATTTTTCAGTCACAAGAAAATATATTGCACTGCAGATGTAGTAAACTGCTACCACAGTGAATCAGAGATATAAAATACCCTTCAAAAAAATGCTTCTGCAAACTGACACGAGGGAGTGGTGTAGTAGAACAAACAACTGGTTATAAAATAAGCTTCATAAACTGTGTATAAAATAAGCTTCATAACAACAATAATGCTCTTAAAACTGATTACGAAGCACCAAAATGCAGGTGTGTGGAGGGTGTAATCAAGAGAAGTATTACTACTGAGACATTGTCCAGGCATAGAGAGAAAGTTCAAATTCAGTTACGTGAGGGACGAGAAAAGAGCTTCAACATGCACATCAAAAAACAAAGGAAGACCCGAGGATATAATGAGAAGCTTACTGACACAGGACTTGGAAAGGGATGACGTAATCAGTACCTTCTTTCCCTTGGTCTTTACTGAAAGGCTTCCTAAGGCTTCTGTGCCTAGTGGAAGGTGAAAAGTTCTACCCACAATAGCAGAGAAAGATCAAAGTAGGAACCTCACATGCAAACTGGACATATACAAAAATGTCTGTGGCCCCAGATGCATTTCTTCACAATCAGAGATCAGGTCCCATGTCATCCCAAGCCCATTCTCCACCACCTTTGAAAAAATATGGCAATCTGGTTGAGATTCCCAGTGACAGAAAAAAGGCAAACGCTACAATCATCTGCAAAACCAGAGAGAAAGAGTATTCAAGTAATTACAGGGCAATCTGGCTCGCCTCAGGGAAAACTATAGAACAAACCCTCCTAGAAATCACTGTGGGGCATAAAATGATGACTGAGACCAGCCAGAATGGATATACCAAGGCCTGGAGTCTGTCCAACCTAATTGACTTCCACCATGGCTGTGTAGATGGGAGGAAGAAAGAAGCGGCATGTCATTTGCTTTAACAAGGTCTTTAACCAGGCCTCCCATAGCAGTCAGACTTGGAGGGTTTGGACAAGATGAAGTTGGAGTATCAGGTGAATGAAAAACTGGCAAGATGATTAGTCTCAGAGAACAGTGGTCAGTATTTCCAAGTCTAACCAGCAGTCAATTAGAAGCAACATTCTTCAGGGGTTAGTCCTGGAAACGATAGTGTTTTAATGACTGCATTGCTGTCTTGGACAATGGAATGCACCCTCACCAGCTTCAAAAATGACATCAAATATGGGGAATTGGTCAACATGCCAAAGGGTGAGGCTGCCTTTCTGATGGACTCAAGCAAACCGGAGCAATGGGCTGATGCAAGCCTCAAAGCTCAACAGTGATAAATGGTAAGTCAGCACACAGAACAAGCACCACTGGCTCAGCGGAAAAATCCCTGTGGTTCCTGGTGGCAATCAAGCTGTATGAGAGCCTGTATTACACTCTTGAAAGGCTAATTCCTGGGTTGCATTAGCAAGATCACAGCCAGCAGATCTAAGGAAGTGATTATGTCCCCCTACTCAGTACTTGTGAGCTAACACCTGGAGCAGCATGTAGCTTTGGAAGTCCCAAAGCAATAGGTTGTAACAAACTGACAGGAGCCCAGTGGAAGGACTCAGGTGTTCACAGTGCTTGAGCACAATACATAAGAGAAGCCTCTCAAGGAGTTCAGTGAATCTAACACAGATGGCAGGGGGTTATAGAAAAGATACTCTTCTCAGAGGCACACAGCAGAAGGACAAGAGACAACAGACAACAAGGGAACATCTTACTAGAGGAAGAAAATTAATTTCACAATGGAGGTGGCTAAGATCAAGATCAGGAAGTAAGAGAATGAAGAATCTCCATCTTCAGACATTTTCAAAACTCAGCTGAACAAAGCAAAGGTAGCTGAGCCTACCTTTGAGTAAAAAGCTAGACTATCTCCTCTCCAGATGTCTTTTCCAATAAATTATTTTGCAATTTCATCAGCATATAGCCAGCACAGAAGCTCTCATCTAATTTTACACTGATGTAAGGCCAATATAATGCTTGCTGCTCAGAATGACACTATTCTGGATTCATATGCACATTATCAGGAAAACCAAAACATGACCTGATTCCATAGGAATGAGTGGAAACCTAGTGGAAAAGAATAGAGAAAAAAAAAATCCAAAACAACCTGAGGTCTTCATTAGACAAAATTACATCTGAAGTCAGAGAACATAAAAAAAGGACAGTTCACAACTAGAAAGCATTGCAATCTCCCTTCCATTCACATACACAACAGCATGGGTATTGCTAAATATATCACATTTTTGACATTTAGTCCTCTCCATACCAATCACCTGTGTAGTTGTGAGGTGCTTCCAAGTAGAACACCACTCCTCATTTAAATGGATAGCAGGTAGTGCCACCGATTCTCAAAGTCAAATAAAAGATAAAGACTAACTTCAATTGTAAGCTCCTGATGCATCAATTTAGAAACGTATCTAAGATCAAAAAAAGGAACTGCTTAATTAAAATGAGCAGAGAGTGTCTTGTGATCACAAGAAAATTATGATGGAATAGCTGGAATGGCTTCCACCTTTAGCTGTTCACCCCACCTCCCTTACAGAGTCCATAGTAACCTACACAGGAGTGGCTGAAAGGCACATGCATTCTTTCCTGAGCACTGTGGTTTACAGACCAGCATATTACTGTAAACTCCTGCCAACAGTAACCTCTGGGAGACAAGCAAGGCAGATAGCTGGTGGCAGTAACCATTGTCCCAGATAAATGCCATTAGAAAAATAGGTCAGAATCTTCACGAGCATACAAATAAGTACTCTGTAGAATTACAGCCTCAGTAATAACCTACACATCCAATAAGTTGTCAGATAACTCAATAAAACACTCTGAAACATCTGAAAATAAAAGGTAGTTGCCACCTTTGCCCATAAAAATTTCAAAGTGCAGATGCCTACTAGTTCTACTGTTAAAAAAGAGAACAACAACAAAAAACCCAAACACTCCAACTAAAATAAAATTCAAAAAAATCCAGCAAAAGAAAACAATTGTGAATCAAAGAATTGTATTTTTTGAAGACTATACACACATATGAATACAAGTGTGTGTGGATACACATGTAGATCTGCATATGATCTACCACATAGCTATCATTTCTTCAGGATCCAGTTGCAGTCACTACTCCACTTGTCTCATAGTACAAATACAACTTGTTTGAACAAGCAAATTCAGATAGCAGTAGCTGTCTCACCAAGGCAACGGGAGCTCCTTCAGGGCTGCAAACTTTCCAAAGAAGCTGGCTACGTTCTGCCTCTAAACTTCCCTTAAGCCACATAGAAACACTGCACTTTTTTTTTTTTTTTACTTAACACTGCACTTGGTTTAAAGTTACATTAGTATGTATATGCCACAACACAGAGCAGGACTGATCAGAGGATAGATACTACTCTGCAGCCTCCAGTTATTGCACTCTATGCCAAATCCTTCATAGTTAAGAGTTGGCAAGCAGGCTGTCATACTAAAGCTAAGACCACAGTGAGTGCGAATTTGATGGAGATCAAGCTACTTTCTACTTTTGTCTAATAACTGTCACAAATACAGACAAAAACTAACTGAATTTATGCAAGTTTACAGAAAGCTCCTTGTCACCGACCCTGGAGGTGTTCAATGAACGTTTGAATTTTGTGTTGAGGGACATGGTTTAGGGAGTACTATTGGTGATAGGTGGATGGTTGGACTGGATGACCTTGTAGGTCTTTTCCAACCTTGGTGATTGTGACATTTTTTCACTTACCCTGATTCACCTGAGTTTATTTTCCAGCTGCATCCTCTTATCCCAGCCCTGAAAAACTGTCAGTCTGTTCGCTAGCATAGACATGAAGATTACAACTAAAAATTCTAAAAAAGAATTCAATTTCCAAAGATCTCCTTTCACATCTTACCTGTTTGTTCCTGGTCTTCAGAATGAGCCAACAAATCTCTGCAGACAGGTTGTCCATCAGCCATTCTTCTGAAAGAAGAGAGAATTGTTAAAAATGTAACTCCAGGAGTACTAAGAGGATCCACTGCAATCCACATACAATATATTCAAGGGGAGGGGGGAAAAAAAACTACATCAGGAAAACAGTAAGAAATACAAACAGGAAAATCAATATACAGCTCAGGTGAACAAAGAACACTTTGTCTCTCTTTTGCATGCTCTACAATCAGGTTAGACAGGGAAAAACTTTCAGTCAGTAAGGATGACATCTGTATTTTACTGAGAGGATGCTGGATTCCACATCTTGGAACACACAAGATGGAGATGGTAAATGTGACTCTCAGAAGCCATCAGATGTGTGAGTATAAAGAATGGATGATCAGTCCTAACCTTGACCACACTACCAGCATATTCATATCACATTTGTTATCAACTATCACTGTTGATACCTGTGAAGGCATGAGATTAGGGTTTGGTGGTCTTTTCTTGTTTTGTTTTTAAAACTAGGAAAAGAATGAGATTTAGTTCATAATAATAATAACATATTTCTCAAAACCTGCATCAAGCAACTGATTATTGCATGGATTAAATTAACATTCCTTGGTTTAAATTTAAATAAAATTTTAAACAGATAATATCAACTCAAAGTTTGTAAAGTAACATGCTGCAAAGTATAGAAGCAAAAAATCTAAATAACAAAGGAATACATAAAAGTGAGTAAGTGCCTAAAGTAATGCACTACAGAATATTAAAAATCATACTGTTATTGATGAATAATCTGATGCATTAAAATAATATGACCCAGTGAAATGTATAAGTTTCTCAACATCTATATTTAATAGTTAATAGCCATAGCTGATACTAGTAGTCTGAATATATGGAAAGAACTTTTCCTTCAGTGAAGGCTTCAGCCTGCAGACTTTGATTTGACTTCACTTAATAGAACAATGGGTGGGAATTTGCAGCCTTCAGAGGCTGAGAACAATTTTGGATCATCACTTCCTCCCTCAGAACAATGGAGGAGTCCTGAATGAAGCTCAAGTTCTTATCCTCTTTAACACAGTAACTTCATGCAGAAAAAGAAAATCCAAACAATGCCCTTCCCAGCTGTCAAAAAAAAGTAACAAGCAACTTCCAAAGTGGTTGTTAAACACAGCACAGTCAAATAGCAAGCAGTGGGACCAAGCACTATGTCACACAGTATTTTGTATCTTGCATTAACAACTCCATCTTATAGAATATGGATATGTGGCACAATCCAAGAATTTATTACTATTTGTTATTCACAACAAAATCATATTTTAATAAAGCCTCATCCAAGCCAGGCTCCTACAGAAGAACACAGCTGTTTTTGCAGTTCTTCACTCATCAGAAGTGGCAGTCCCTGCTCAGCTCTTCCCCGCTGTCTCAGAGCAAAGGCACAGGTTGCAAAAACAGCTGATGGAAAATAAGGCATCATCACTAAGCTTGCCTGTGAGGATGTTTCTCCTCTTGTTAATGGCATAATGGGGCAAAACATGAAAGAGCTTGTTCAATAAACAGAGACTTAGGCTCTGGAAATAGTCACTGGCTGGGCGGAGGCGGATGTTGATGAGAAACAGAGTAATTTAAATATAGAGGGGGATTAGACTGTATTTGAAAAGGTAAATCTGTTTGACGTGTGGGAGAATGGTGGCTTAAAGAAGTGTAACACACAGAGCAACAGTCCAAGAAGGTACATTTGATGATAAAAATAAATAAAAGCATCTAAAACCAATTAGAAGTATGTCTGTCAACTTGAAACACTTAACCCTCAAATGTGTTCCCATTTGAAAGAAAAACTGCATTTTGCGAGCAGAAACCTAGTGCAAACTTAACTATTTTTTGAATACTTTTCAATCCTTACTTTTTTAGTAAAGTAAGACAAATGAAGTCTTAGTTAAAAGATAACTGAATGTTATTTTTACCTATAACGGCAAAAAAGCCTTCAGAAGAAAACGGATATGATTGGTAGTTTAACAGAATAACCTCCTGTGAGACTACACAGAACTTGAAATAATCATAAGTAACCATTTCTCGCAAAGGAAAAATCCCTTATGGTCTTATTCCCACCCAGATAAGATCTAAGATACTGGTTTGGCTTATAATTTGCTCCATAAACATTAGCAGTGTAATGTGAAAAAAAATCAACCAGCAAATTTGAACTTCTGGACTCACCCTGGTAGCATTTTAACATGCAAATGTCATCTGAGGAGCTCTACACATCAAACGTGTTCAGAAGCATCCAAGTTTGTAACACTGTGTGCAAAGCAGCTGTTACCTGCCTCAGCCAACTAAACAGTTTGAGAGACTTTTTGCAAAGTGCAAAATTCTCTTTTATCAACAATTTATTGCTCAGAACATCACTATTACACAGAACTGTCACTCCAGAGTGAAAGAATACAGTTCTTAATATCATTTGATACTTCAACTTTTTCTATGGTGCTAACCTTTTTAAAAAATTAGAGACTCTATAAAAATTATGTTATGTGGCATTCTTGGAGTAAAACTGAAACAACACTGTGGGACTACTTGAATCACAAGCTTGTTAATTATACTGCTGCAAGGAGAAAACGTGCTGCAGAACTATGTTTGGTGCTGTAACAATTGGACAGATCAATATGATGGGAAAAGCCATTTCACCAGAGTGGTAATGACAGAAGGATTGGCACAATAGAAAGGTGCTACGAAGGAAGGGAAGAAGATTGCTCACCTGTATCAGAAGATTCCAGGTTCGCTGGGGAAATCTCCACCAAGGAGGGATCCCCAGGAAGAGATCCTTCCCCAGTGCCAGTCAGCCCTTCAATGAGGTCTAAGAGATGTGCAGCCAGGCTCCACTCCTTCTGGACGCACAGCTGCATTGCCTTCACCTGTGCTCCCAGGGCTGACTGGTCCTTTCCCCAGGTGCTCAATCAGTGGTTCAGGCCAGGACTCAACATTTCCCATACAGGTGCTAAGATGCCCTATCACAACCAAGGTGCTTTTGAAATCTGGACTTTGGCTGTTACAGTTAAGACTGGCACCCTACATACATCATGTAAGGTTATGAGTGTAGGCATAGCACGTTCCCAAATTCATCCATCTATTTAAAAGATTATTTGTCTTTTGTTTGCTTAGGCAAACAAACAGAAGCATGATCCCAAAGCTAATACACAGAAACCTCTGCAGGGCACACACAGGAACTGATAGGTCACTTTGGCATGCCAGTTAGACCAAAATGAGTTCATGTTACACAGTGTTGTCCAGCTAGAGATAATCAAAACATACTTTTGCACAACTCCATTAGCAAGAACGTTTTCTGAACAGCATTTCCTGACATAATATGGGATTTAATTTGGAGGTACCATTCTATTGAAGAAGATCCCATCTGTAGCCTCAAGTCACAGATTTCATTGCCTTAGTCTTTCCCAATTAAAAATAAACCTTAGTTGAAATACACAAATGAGGCTGATTTGGAAAACATGGACTTTTTGCCATGGCAGAACCTTTCTGCCTTTTCAAGTCAGTGAGAATTTATTTCCCCCCAGCTTTTGTTACCTGATTTCCAGGACAACCTATCCTTATGCAATCCACCAACTTTAGCCTATGCCAGAGCTGCTTCTGGCAGTGTGTTTTGGGTCTGCATTTGCTTATTCCAAAGCACTTTCTACTGGGAGTCAGGCATTACTGGGCCATTTTCATTCAAGATAAAATCATTAAGTAATCACCCGATAATTATTTACTCAGCAAAAAAACAGGCAGTCACATTACCTACAGGTACTTCTGAAAACCTGAATGATCCTGGCACTTTGCTCAGAAACTTCAGCAACTAAACATCACCCAGATCCTGTTTTATGAGTAATCCTTTTCCATTTTCTCTTGTGTCTTGCAAGTGCTGAGTCCAACATTTTAAAACAGAACTCTGGGGAGGAGGTAGGAGGGAGCGCAAGAAAATAAATTAAGACTCACACATCTGTCAGAGATTGAGACAAAGATGGTGAAATCACTCCAATTTAAATCAACATTACACAGTGCCAAAGCTTTGATAGCTCATCAGATAAACAGAAACCTGTAAGCAACATAAATAGCTAAATAGGAAATTCTATATCTCCTGACTGAGATCTATTAATTATTACCCCAGACATTTAAGAAATATTTCCTTGTGTTCTGCTGCATAAGGAAAAGAAGGACAGTAACAGCACGTAACATTAGTTTCAAATCCTAATTTTGTATTACATGTAAAATTTTTCCTATCTTAAGCAGCTGAGAGGTCCTTGCAGTCCTTTACAGGGGCATCGCTGTCTATTATAACTGGTTTTATTTACCAATTAATCCTCTTTTTTAATTGGGGCAATATTGTAAGACTTTCCCTATTGTTCTATTTAAAATTTCCCTTTATTCTTAAAGAACTGGTTAGATTTGGGTTTTAATTAGTTTCAGTCTCCTTGTGAGACTTCAGAAGGGGGCCACAAATCAGTGCAAACATGCACCTACTCTTGCAAAAACATTCAGCTGATTTGACAATCAGATTGCACAAGATAACAGCCTCTCAAGTTATTAATATAGTTTCTTTTCACTTTTCAAGTATATTTAAAAGCAACACAAAAGTTTAATGAAGAACAAAGCACTGAAGAAAAAGATAACAGCTGAAAGGCATTTTGCTGTAAGCCACAGCTGGCACACACCTTAAGCAGATTTGTATTTGCAAAAAACAACAACAACAACAACAAAAACCCCAACAACTTGTATATTTTGATCTTTTGTTTTACAGACAGCTGAGAAGTATGCAGATGAAAGGGATTCCAGCAGTTAGGTCATGCTGAACTCATTACCTCCTCTCTCCCTCCTTTTTGAGGTCACACTGAATTTCAGCCTTACAAAAGCTCTTTCTAGCTCTGCCCATCTTGCTAGAATCTGATATTCTTTGTCTGGTTCTCCTCACCTGAAATCCTGCTTTCAGGAGGAAGACAGAAACTTCACCCAACTTCAAACTACTCCAGGCGGACTTAGAAAACAATAACTATGCACTGACTTCTTCAAGAAACAATGTATTTAAGGCAAGGAATTTGAATGCATGGAAAGCAGTCAGCGCTCTAGCCTCTGATCTTCTTTCCTTAGAATTTCAGGAACAAACCACACACCAGGCACATTTTTTATTGAATATAAAGAATATTCAAGAAACTTCAACATCCTATTTTGTAAACCTCTGTATGTTTCAACATTCTTTCTGTACTTTTGTTGTTGTTGTTGTTGTTTTAACAGTGAAAACCCAGAACACCATATTTGCAGTAAGCATGTGACAGGTAGGACCATGCATGGACTAAAACAGAGGCATTACTACTGATTTACTGACAATTCTAACTTTCACACATCAGAGTATACATATACCTATACTGATCACAAAGCAAACTGTCTTACAACTTCGAGGTGCATTAAAAATTGTCAATTTTAGTATTAAATACTTCAGCATTCCAGAAGCAAGAAATCCAATCACATCAAGCAAATCTTCCAAATGATGTAGCACGCAA